GCTGCAAGCAGACTGGGCTCCGTGGGCCGGCTGCAGCCTGAAGGCTGCAAACAGCTGCTCCGGGCTCCAGCATGTCGGCACTCCGGCACCTTCCAAGGTAGACATTGTGGGTTTTTTTGGCACTCTGGCCTAAAAATGTTGCCTACCCCTACACTAGGGAGTGGTGTAGCTAGCATCACATCCAGTCACCTTTGAGGAATCCATTTTGCAGCCCTTGGTAGGAGCCCAGAGCAGCGTTTGAACTCATGGCTCCAAAGCTCTGCCCAGTTCACAAAAATGTATGTATAGTCTTTTATAATACAGGATTTTTTAAAGTGCTAATCTAACAACTTTCTAATGCTTCCCTTCTTTTAGATAGCTGTTGCCTTCACAAGCAAAGAGATCTGCTTCTATGATCTGAATTCTAAGCAAGGATTCTCTTGTCAGTACAGACTATACGGCCTGCAGGGAACTGTACTGTGTATGGAGTATTGGTACAATCCTCATGATGGAAATGAAGCCATTTTAACATTTGGTGATGTCTCTGGACAGGCAAGTATAATGACTAAAGAGCTAGCTCAAAGGATTCTCTATTTCTCTGCTCATGGCTCTCTCAAGCTGTGGAATCAAATCACAGTGTTATAATTATCCTTTGATAGTTATCAAGTTAGAGGTAGTTATTGAGTTTTCACCTTTTTCTTTTTCTTTCTGAGTTGTAGAAATTGACAATGAAAGTCTGATAAAATCAGAAAGCAGTCTAATTTTTAATATGTCAAACTGAATGGCAGTATAGAGAAAAAAATCAGCGGAATAGATTATACAAATGCAAAGGCAAATGAAAATAAATAGCTATACTCTGAAATGTTAGAGAAGACAGATGGGTAAGATCTCTCATTCATTTAGCCCATTCTTTTGCCAGTGTAGAAATATTTTCTCCAAGATGTATAGTTTTGCGTTGTTCAGCAATGTGGCTTCCGCCCTTCCTTGAAATAAGTCCGCAGTCTCACTATTAGGGTTTCCTGATTTTCAGAATGAATTTTCCCAAATGCATCCTATTACCCAGAGCCTCTATAAGCCTTATCTCACCCTAACTAGTTCTTTTCCACCCTATAAATTTACTTCCTTCTGATTCATGAGGGAAGGGAGTACAGGAGTAGATGGAAAGAAGAGGGAGTGGGGAGCAGGTAGGTGGAG